CATACGATTCACTCACATCAGGTGAGTTCATACCCCTTAATTAACCTTTTAAATGTTTATAAATTCTTTTATGGGGGGGGGGGGTTGAATACAAGTTGAATCATGCTAGTTATTATATCAATCACATGTGATGAATAACTAGCATATAAATGGATTTACTACACGTTTAGCTATTTTACCATACATATTACCTCAAATGACTTTTCAAACGTGTTTACATGTTAAAACTCTTTATCAAACTGTCTTACATATTGTATGTTTCCATTCAAACTCTATTACAATTGTGTTTCAAAAAAGGTTTTCCTTATACTTAAAATTGTCTTATCAAACAAACTACTTTCAGATCATTTTATAAACTAACATCAAGTCATCATTTCTCAGTTATTAAACTTTTCAAAGGTTTTACAAAACTTATTTTATACTTTTATATTGTCAAATGCATGCCTAGATATGTATAGTTATATAAGTAATGTTTAAAGGACTTACAACGGCTAGCTCGCTTTATTTCCTTTTCCTCATTGGGATGTGGCCTTAGGGCATCGGTTACTCGTCCGAATGTCGTCTAAATATTAGTTATATATCATGTGTACATATATAGACATAAAAGTTCCATCAGTCAGTTTAGTACCTTTGGGTAGCAAAGGCATACTTTCGGTTATACACGTACATTACTAATAGCTATAATAGGTATAGTTAGGAGATAATACTTACTATTCTAAGTACAAGGAATCACACAAGACTTAGTTCATTCATGAGTCTATACTAATACAATACATACTATATGAAGAGATACTATTAGATAGATACCATTTCATAGATACAATACACGATAACATAAGAGAACACACAATAAAGAGAAACAGGGAGGAAGATGCAATACACGATAACGGAACAAACATAACAAGGTGCTATAGCATGGAACAATTACAGGATTTAACTATACCAATGATTCACTAACGCATTGTTCTAAACAAAAGGTGATAGTTATATTGGGTATACATGATCATATAATCTTAATGTGGATTTTCACGGCATGCAATCATTTCATAGGTCGCGTTTGGTTCCAAAAATCTCTTGACAGGGGAGCGTTTAGTATGGGATCTAGCCATCACATTATACCTTAATACTCAATTAAGGTAATTAGTACAATAGTAGTCACTTAATACAATACTACATTGCTACATTAATTTACACCTTTACATTTATTTGGTGATTACTTCACTTAAACATTAATGTACAAACTATATTTTGATAATGATAGTTACACTTAGGAAAATTACACGTTTTAACAGGAAACAAGCGTACAAAATAGCCGGGTCTTGGTAGAAGGCTACTTTCAAAACGTTCGGGTCTTGGTAGATGGCTACTTTCAAAATAGTCGGGTCTTGGTAGAAGGCTACTTTCAAAACAGTCGAGTCTTGGTAGAAGACTAGCTTTTTATACTAGTAGGAAATATGGGATTTTCTAGGGTGTTCATACTTATACAATCTTTTCTTCAAACATTTTACAAGTCTTTTCTTTACAATTTTACAAATCAAAGACACATAAATACTTATGAATTCACCAGCTTCATTGTTGATACTCGCTTTCAAAATAACTTGTATTCTCAGGTCACAAATAGATAGGTACGACGACCAGGTTTTGTGAAGATGGAGCAGTCAAGACTCATCTTTTATTTTGATTATTCATTATGTTGTTTTATACTATGAAAGAACAAAAATGTATTTAAAATTATACTATTAATTCAATGGATGATGATGGTGCTTTTTTACTACTTTGCATTGTTGTGATACTTTACATGACATCCTCCGCCCCAAAACGTTTCCGCCATTCTCAGTTTTGGGGTGTGACGGTTTTCAAACACGCTGTTATGGTTTTTAGAAATTGATATGGCATTGGCAATGTTTGGTAAATTATGTTATGAATTCTCCAATTTAAAATGAAATTTTTGGCATCGATTTTTGGGATATTACATGTTACTCAGCATTACAGCAAATGTAGAGTTTTCTTAGTACATGCTATTTGGTAAGGTATATTTTCAAAAACTATGTACTAGTTTAGATGTCCCTAGAAGCATGTTGCAGCATTTTGACTCAAGCCTCGATAATGCTATGAGCTTCGAAGCCTTAAGGAGTTTCTCATTTTGAGAATTCCTTCCCAATTAATCTATTTTCTCATTCATTCATAAGCTACCTTACTCTTCTTATATGATTTAAGAGTTTACTGCTTGGCCCAATCATAGCAGACATAGATTCGTTTCTTTTACCCAATCTTTTTTATCCCAAAATTCTTACACATTCACACACTAAGACATATGTCCAAGAGATCTCTAGTAAAAAACAATCATGATCTAGACATATCAAAATTTTGTATTAATGATCTAACATCATCAGACCATGATGAAATTGAAACCCAAAATGTCGAACCAAATTAAGGAATTGATAGGGAACTATCTTCCAGAGTTAACGAATCATTTGTTTTAGTACATGTTTTCGATACTCAAAACCATATTCTTCTTTTGAAGTAATCATGATCAAATGTTCGAAACGCACGACATTTGTTACCAAACAAGATTTAGGAAAAATTTTGGTTCAAGGATGATTTTTGTCTGAGCATCATTCTTAACCTTCGTTACTTGATAAATTTTTCATATCTTACTTGTCACTAACTACACTAGTCAAACAGGTATTTTCGTTTACAACTTGTCACACTTATGTTTAGTTGTGCTTTGTAACGAAATTTTAAGACATGTTGAAAGAAGCCCTTTGATACTTCTTAAAAATTATTCGATTTTAATTCACAGGAAACCACACAAGCTATGGATCATCTATTTTGATGATTAGCGAAGCAATCTTTTCCCAGGGTTTATTTGCTTTTAGCGAAGCAATCACTGGGTTTATTTGCTTTTATGTCGAAATCTTTTCCCAGGGCTTATTTTCTTTGATGATTAGCGAAGCAATCTTTGCACAGGGTTTATTTGCTTCTTATCTTTTTTCCTAGCACACTGGACTCCTAAAATCCTTGAGGTTCTAAGTATTACCAACTCAGGCTGATGATTTTGAAAGTCTAGCATATGACTTCGTTTTCAAACCCAAAAGCGAAAGAGCCCAACCTCCATTTCGAAGGTTTTGGTTCTTATCTACTTGGTACTCACGAAGAGACTTTTGATGTGACGGTTTGGTAACTGTGTGTTTCTAGGAAACTATGCTTATCACTTTTTCTGACATGGCGTATTTGACGGACAATGGTGCGATTTACAAGCGCCACGTGTCACGTTCATTTATGGTAACAGTCTGAGATTGAAATTAGGGATACATATAAAAAGCGAAATCGGGTCTTCATTCCAATTTAACGCTTTCCAAACTTATTAAAAAACGATCACTGCCCTCTTTTTTCATGTGTTCTTCACGATTTCAAGAAAACCCTACTAATGGTTGCTCTTAAATCCAACACTACTGAAGACGTATCTTTTCAACCCATTATGAAGATACAAAGTATGAATTATCAGGTTGATGGTGATGTTTCAGTTTATCCAGAAGAACTCAAGATGCTAATTGTTGCTTTGAAACATTCAGTTTTTTCTACTACAATGTTTAGTTCATTTGATTTTCCTATGTCGTGGCTCTCAATTGCTGGTTCCACAACCTCATACAGCAAGATAATGGGCATCGTTACATTTAAACTAGTGAATGACAAGAAGTTTCGTTTGTCGAAGAAGCTTTTTGCCAAGATTCTTGAAATCCCAAATTCTCCACCTTTCTACAAGGTCATTAATGAACAGGTGTTTCTTATGTTCAATGAGATGGGTTATCAACCCACACTTACCAAGATAAGCGAGTTCAAGAAGTCAGGCCTTCCGTGTATCTAGAATTTTCTTTTTGGTATTTATCTTCGATGTCTAACTGGTCGAAGTGTTGGTTTGGATAAAGGAAGACTGGAGGTATATGCTATGGTGGCTGGAATATACTATGATCTAGCAGTGGAGTATGCTACTCAGATGTGGAAGGAGTTCTTGAAAAGTATGGAGAATACTAATATTGTGGATGGGGTCTCTTATGCTAGGTATTGGAGTTTGATTCGTCGATATGAATATGAGAAGGATGGTGTTCAGGTCCCTGCTGATGAACCAAAGGCTGAGTTTGTAAAGTATGACTATCCAAAAGCTATTGAAGATGATGTCAATTTGATTCCTTCAGTTGCTCGAATTCCTGATGGAATGCTCAAAAAGGTTGATCCATTGAATCCTGTGTTGATGACATATTTGCAGACTATTAGTCCTAACGGCGAAACTGGAGTTTTACTACCACGGTTTGATGAAGGTTCCTCGAAGAAATCACGAAAGTCAAAGAAGGTTGATGAAACTACTCCTTCGAAACCAATTCAAGAGGTGAAAGTAAGTAAATCACCAAAGAAAAAGTTTGAAGAGGGAGTTAAAGTTTAGAAGAAATCAGACAAGCATGTTGAGCCTAAAATTGTTGACCCTTCAAAGGATTTAGTTCCTTCGAAAACTGGTTTGCTAAAGAGTATTAAAAAGAAATTTCATAGGTCACGAAATTCTCCCAATGGTCATCTAGATTTTCACCATCAATGGTTAAAAAGCCTTATGTAACTCGAAAATGTATTGTCCTGCGTGAAGTTCTTGTAAGCGAAGGGTTAAGGATGTTGCTAAGCATATTTCAAAGAAGAGAAAGAAGAGAAAGTTGATTATTCAGGAAGATTCTATGGAAGAGGAAGAAGTTCCTGAAACACCAATGGGTGATGTTTCATCTAAGAAGAAATCTCCTGTCATATCAAACTTCGATGAGATAGGAATTTCAAGTAGCTCTATTAAAACTTCAATAGTGGACACATCTACTATTCTTGGTAATTCAACCAAAATATTGACTTCTGAGTAGATTTCGGTCATACTACGCGATGTTTCATTAACCAAATCATTTAATGAGGAGATTCGAACCTCAAGCATTCCTACACACATATTTGATACGAATGTACATGTGAACATGGGTGAAAGAGTATTGAACGATGAAAACTCAGCGCCTACTACTCAAGGTATTTTCGAAACCTCAACAATTACTACCACTACTTCTTTACCACCATTTTTCACAACAGTTTCTACATCCACACATTCACCAACTTTTGATCAAGTCATGAATCAACCTATCACTTCTCTCTTTCCATCTCAATCTACTGTCCCACCCAAAACGATGAATGATGATGACACTAATGATGGATTGTATGGAGCATCATTTGCTGATCTAGAATTTAATCCTGAAGAAGAAGACATTCCATTTCACATGTTTATGTCGGGGAAATAATTCAAGATTCTTAACAGAAAGCTTAACTCCTTATTACAGTCACAAGCAGATGCAGGAGGCAAACATTTTGTATCTTTCATTAAAGTCGATGTCATGCTTAAATCTCAGGAGCTTCAACTTCAACACAAATTAGATGTCATGAGTAAAAACAATGAGCTCCAAGTAAAAGCTCAATCTGGCACTTTCAATAGTGAAATCAAGGAGCTAAGGATGGTTCTGAAGGAACGACATGGTCTCTTCATTCAAGATGTCAAGACTATTAGAGAAGGTGTGAATAGCAAGCTTGAGGAATTTAAGGTTGATGTGGCAAAAGAGATTAAAGAGTTGAATACCATTTACTCTTCTCTACTTTCGAATGTAGATATTGTTGCAGGGGCTGTAACACAAGTCGTAGAGTGGTATTAATCTCTTCTTCCCAGGTTTGATGACAAAGCAACTTGTGATATTACTAGTTTTGGGAAGCTTGATGCCATGCTTCGTGAAGTAAAAGAGATGATTTCGAAGTCTGGGTCTTCATCTATTTTAACTCTGGAGCCATTAACTCAGAAGTTTCATTCATTCGAAACTTTCATTCAAAAGGAGTTGGCCCCATTATCTCAGCTGGTAAATCTCTTACCAACGAATGCCCCACCTATTGTCACAAGGGTGCAAGGGGGAAAATGAAAGTTGTTGGTAAAGGAGAAGGTGCTTCTGGAAAAACTAATGAAGAAGCAAAGGTTATTGGTAAAGTTTTTACAACTCATATTCCTACACCAAAACCGATAATCTCGAAGGCTGATCCAGTGATAGCCACTGTAACAACTACAAGCCGATTACTATAGGCATTGTAATTGGGTCAACAGGTGAAGGGCGTTCATCTAAACCTAAGCAAACTACAACAAATCAAGATAGAAGAAAAGGTGTTGTTGTAGAGCAATCAAAGGAAGAAAGAAAAGATGAGACTGATGCATAAATAGAGAAACAACGCCAAATTCAAAGTATCTTGAGGCTTCGTCAAAATAATCCGCCTACTTTTAACAAAGGTGATCCAAGAAAGCTAGACAGTTATGAGAATATAGAAGCAAGAGTGGCTTACAATGCAATGTATGAGTTCGAAAAGAAGCCAAGAAAGAGTTACGCCATCGAGAATTTTGATATGAATCAACTTGATTTTCTAATTAATGAGATCATGTTTCTTACAGCCCAATATAAAATTGTTGATCAATTTAAGGATAATGATGATTTTATTCACATGAAGCTAAGATTCCATGCTGTGTTTGGAAAGGAACACGAAGAAGTTTGGTCACTCGTGAACCTTGTTCGAGTGTTGAGCATAACCAATGATGTGGATATTCAAAAATAAGCTACAAAATTTTCAATATCATGTTGTGCAGACAAATAAGGTTGTTTTGGACTTCTCAATTGTTGATTTCCCTTAGATGAATTTAAATGACCTTATTCAAGTTGCAAACATTCTCAAAGACATGGATGCTTCAAAACATCAAGGAAGAAGTAAAGAAGTGTTGCATTTGGGGTTAGGTCATATCAAGCTTTTCTAGAATTGACTGATGTTGAGTTAACATTTTCAATGGGAAAAGAAATCAGGGTTCCTCAGTTAGTGTTGAAGAGTCAAGCTGATTTAAACAATTATGTAGATGGGGAGATATGTCTGAAGCCGTTGGGGATCGTTTTTGTTGGAAAAAGCAAGAAGGCAAAACAAACGAAGTTCTTATTCCAATCATGTGATGTCGAAAGATAGACAATTGCTCAATATACAAACTTAATTGTGCATATGAACAGTTGTAAGAAGAATAATGATTAGGATAGAGGTGAATTGAAGAAAGTCGTGAACTGTTATGTGAAGATAAGAAGAACATTGCATATGGCTGCTCAAGTTTTGATAACCTGATTTCGACACTACTTACAAAGGGGAATATTGTAGGAGTCGAAGTATGTTGTATGGTGTCGAAGGGTATGTTGTATTCGTTAAGTGATGTAATGTTATTACAAAGGTATTGTGATTTCAAAATTGTAATGTTTAGCTCTTTGTATTTTTTATGTGCTTTCTCTTCTCCTATAAATACGGCTAGATACAATAGTGAGATAGAACTTTTGCTACACTTCTATCTAAAACTCTTTGTATCGTGAAAGGATAATACGAGCTGAAACAAGATTATATTTACTCGCGGTGTTTTTAATTCATTTCAAATCTGATCTCGTTTCATTACTCGATTAAATAGCTACTACATATAGTTTATTAGTTTCAACTTTACAGAAATGCCCCCTTAACTTCCGTGTTTGGTTAAAAGCGATGATAAATGAGAAATTGATTCATATTAGCAAAAAATGTAATTTTTTTTTGTTTTGATATTTTTATTATGAAAAATTGTATTTAAAAGTAGTTAAAGAATTGAAAAAAAAAAAAAGAGAAATGGTTGTTAAAACCACCTTTAAATCCACAATACCATAGCACCCTCCAATGTAAATTTATCATCTTTAATTTATTGCTAATAAATTTAATTTTTAAAATACTTGTATTTGATTTTTATAAGATAAAATATGTTTTCGTATTTTTAATATATATATATATATATATATATATATATATATATATATATATATATATATATATATATATATATATATATATATATATATATATATATATAAAAGATGACCCTGTGGGAAATTGCAAATGGAACCTCGGGGTGTTACTAATTTGTCAACGCTTTATTTAATTCAGTTGTGCCTGAATTACCTGTTAGTTGGACGTTGACTTAATAAAATATAACCTTCAAAATAGGAGCGTGGATGCGTCTACATCCCTCTAGTCTCTATTCTCTACGATGGTTTGTGGTCCGGATCCAACTCGGTTGATTTGCTAGGTTAAAACGGTTTTGAAAAAAATAATAGTTTGGGCAATTTTTTTTTTTTTTATTTTTTTTTAATATTTGGTCACGTTTGGTAAACTAGGTCTTAAGTTACTTTATTAATAAATTATATAAACTTTCTTATAAACTAGTATATCATAAAAATAATTTATGATAGGTTTTTTTTATAGTTTTATAAAATTATAAATTATAACTAGCTTGACTACAAAACAATTTATTTAGTGTAAATGACATTAACAAAACTGCCACATGTTATTGGTAGGATGTTATATAAAGAAATTTCGAAGTCTAATATATAAACCCGATCCTAACATTTCTAAGACGTTCTGTAAAATTCAAATTGAAGCATTATAATTGTTTTTCTTGTAATGTTATTAAGCAAATTCTGTATTTTTTTAATTTAAAACTCAAAATCTCCTCCCTCTAATAAATGAAGGTTTTTTTTTTTTTTTTGCCATTTGTTAATTTCTCGTAAATTTTGACACTTCTTATTTTGTGGTATTTTTAAAGTAAATATTATCGACTTGTCAATTTCGGGTTTGTTTCAATTTTTCAAATTAAAGTCATATATTTATATATGTAAAATATTAAATATAATATATATGAAATTAAATTGAAATGGATATATGTTTCTTTCTTTCTTATTTTAAAGTTTTATATAAAAAATATTTACTGTTTACATTTTAATATTTAATTTTATTTTTTAAAATTAATCCGTATAATATACGGATGTCACACCTATTCGATAATAAATATGTCGTAGATTCTTTGCAAAACATCATATAATGGTTTTACTATAATATGTAATTAATAGATTCAAACTACTAAATGCAACGTTCCAATAAAGATTAAAAAAAAAAAAAATCAATGGGTTATGATTTTTTGTACATTGATCTTATAGAATTTCTCATAATTTTTTATTTCTACGAAACTTGGTTGTAAAATTAAAACTGAAACATTTACTCTCTATTGAGATATAGTAGAACGCAAATAAGATATTAAAAATTAAAGTTTAGAAAAGTTTTTTTTTTAAGCAGATATAACTATAATGAAAAAAAAATTGTATGTTAAACAAGAAACAATATATAGTTTTATTTAAGAAATTTAATATAATGTCAGTTCTATTATATTTATATTTTTTTTGATTTTTTTTAAAAAGTTCAAGTTCGTTGAATAAATCATGTGATTAATAAACTTTTGTCATTAAATAGGTAATTTTTGGAAACAAAAATATTCCAACAATTAGATATTGAATTATTTTTCTAAAAACAAAATGTACAACTCTTTATTATAGGTATATTAACATTGTTTTTATGGTTTAAATTTATTTCGTAGTTGGTCCCTAATCGAATTAAAATAACCAATATTCCCTTATCAATTATTTTGATTGTTTTATTAACTTATTAAAAATATATTTAATAGATATGTGCGGCACACACCCACCCAACCCTTCATCTCTACTACGACTTGCATCGACCTTCGCACCATATTCATACCTGGTAACTCTTTTTCTTTCTCTAATATCGATTGCAAGAAATAACAACAAACATGGTTTATGGTATCCTCTAATGTAGGGTCAATCCATGTAAACCTCATATTGTGTGTGTATATATATATATATATATATATATATATATATATATATATATATATATATATATATATATATATATATATATATACACATACACATACACACACATATATTGGCTCTACTAACATCTTGATTTGATTTTTGACTAAAACAATTGACTTTATCTTTGGGAAAACTGGTGTTATTATTTTGAAATAATTTATTCTTATGATTGTTCAAAAGCGTTCTTCGACTTTCCATTACTTCAATATTTACAAAAATATGTCGTCCTTATCAAAATCCACATCTATCACTACTTCATCTATCTCTTCTAGTTAAAACCTCCCTCTTCCACCTTGTTTTAACCCTTCAAAGAAAAAACATGATTCTACAAGAAAGACTACGAGTAAATATTTAACTACTCCACCCTTGACTCAAGGAAGTGGGATGACACAGAGAGCACCAATTTTAATATCCAACACCAAGTTCATCTCAATGATGCTCAAGATGGAGCATTATACGCATGAACAAATGGAAACCAACACAATGTTGTTCGAATAAATAAAGAAAATAAGCTCAGATACAAGAGGAAATACACATACTCTATCTTCATCTTTGCATGATAGGATCTTGAACTTTGAAATAAGAGATCTTCAAAACCTTATATAGGAGACATCATCTTAATCAAGACCCTGATTATGATAGATAGTGCTACTCCTAGCACAAGATTTACTACTTCTTAAGATCTTCGAGGAATCTTCAATATTCCTCCATATGGATAACATATTGGAATGAGTTTAATCATGGTGAAAGAACTTGGACAGTTGGGAGATATGATTTTAAGTGTCTCGGTTACAGTTCAAGCTAGTCTAAAAGCTTCTCCCTTTAGTCACAAGGTCTGAAGATCAACTTCTCCAACATGTGACACTGATGTTCTTAAGTGGTTACAAACAACTCACTTGAAGATATATAATGCAACCATTTACCCTTAAGAACATGTTGCACAATATAGGAAACATATGGAGGTCGTCCAAATTCCTTAACAATTAATTTTTTTTTAATTTAAAATCATTTTCACAATAACGGTTAAAACGACAATGTAACCTTTTGAATTGTGAATAAACTTAAAGCATTTTATTCCTACTAATGATCATTTTGCAAATCATGGAAAGATTAAAACAACCATAGGTTGAAAAGAGCTACAACCTTTGAACACTTCGATCCTTTTGGAAGGTCAGAAGTTTATGAAGAATGTAAGTGTAGAACTCCATCTTAGTTAGAAACACCAACAATTCTTCAACTTGATTTGGATGCTAGTCCTTTATATATATATATATATATATATATATATATATATATATATATATATATATATATATATATATATATTAGTTGTTCTTAAGTGTTAAATACATATACCAAAAAAGTATTAAGGAGAAGCAATTGAATCACCCAAAACTAGAAAACAAATTAGTAGAGATTGAGAGGAAAATATGCTTAAAACCCTCTTATTTCTACAAGAGAAAAAAAAAAGAGAATATATAAGTAAAAATGAGCTAATTATTAGTCATCTCTTCAGTTTGTATGCTAGTCCATAACTACCTCTCATGGCTAGCATGGTCTAAGAAAGGAAAACCAACAAGTATCATACGAGCAATGCCTATGTGTACTTTTGATTTTGACTAGAAAAAGTCAAAACTAGATTGTTTTTTCTCCTTAGTTCTTAACTAGCGAGTTATATGTTACAATTATATGATTACTTAAAGTTTACAAATAATGTTACATACTTTATAAATTCATACTACATGAATTATGAATAGTTTTGTTCTTTATAATCATTATTTCCTAGATATAATAATCCCCTTTATCTTGTTAAATTTTATAAAATAATATTTTTCCAATTAAATAGAAGAAATATAATTATTTATCAATGATCAAATTCTTATAAGTAATATATTAAAATCAAGTTTTTGTTAGTGTGACTCTTGAGGATCATATATTATCTAGCAAATGTCATTTGATAATGTTTTTTGAGCATAGAGATTTTTCAATCTCCGACTTGCACAAGACTCATTATAGATTGAAATAGAGTGTGGAGAACATCTATACAAATTTCAGTACTCCTAGTAATATATTACTTTATGCTATTCTATCAAAATCAAATTCACAAAAGTGCAAAGGTGGAATTGATGTATAAAGTAAGTTTATCAATTATCCTTTTGTTATAGACATCCTATTAAACATGAGATTTGGACTGTAATCATTCTCTTTTGGTGTTCAACTTGGGTAATGCACATAGGATGTCTAACTCTAAACACATTAGATGAACAAATCCTATGTTTACTACATAAGCCAATGATACAGTTCATACCAAACCTGATAATAGCCTTTACAACTGCCTATTTATGTATTTTACCAAATCAAAGTATAAAACCCACTACACTTAAGTCTCATTATGTATCTTAGGTATTAAGGCTATAAAGATAGTACCTTTTTATCAAATATGACTCACGATATCGATCCATGAGGTGATCTTGATGGCGGTTAGTCCAATACTAGTTCGTTTAGAAGTACATATGAACTTGGTTACAACCCATCGCCTACTTTAATCTATAAGATCCAACCAATACAATTCATATTAGTATTACTTTATGACTACTCCTAAAATTATAAATAACTATGAACTTTTAGAATAATTAGATTATTCATGGATTAAACATGTTAATATAGAACACAAAAAATATTTTTATGAAGATCATATCCTTATATATCAAACAGATATAATAGTTGTTGTCTTAATGTTCCAATATCGAAATACTAAATCCAAATAAAATCCATGAGAACACTAATTATGATCGATAGACTCTATATTAAATAGCGAGAATTGAATGACAAGAACAAAGATCAAAATAGTGTTGAATGCTTTGATTAGAATAGCTCTAGAAGTGTTCAAAGAAAGAACTTTTCTGTGAGAGCTAGGTAGGGCGATCAAACCACTAACCCTAATTGATACATAGATGCACAATAAATAGGTTAACCCTGGAAAGCAAAACCATGAATGGACATGCCCAAACCGGTAAATAAGACTATTCTAGCCTACACATTTGACACAGTACGTTTAAACCCAAAAATCTCCCCCTTTGTGCCAAATACCAAAGGAGAATATGACTGTTGTCTTTTATGCACCTTGAGCAATTTCAGCATCAAATTATAAAGGGTGGTTTTGACCATGAGGTACCATTTGATCATGACTAAGAAATACTTATGATCAGCAGAGGTGTTGCCTTTACAAGCTTCAGTCAATCCGAGAATAGAGTTCAGAGCAGTAGTGGAGTATAAGTGTTTGAATCTCAAGAAAAACATGTTTCTCAGAACTTCCTGACCTTCCTTCTGTTTGTACACAACAAACCAATTTTCCTTTTGGGTTTTAGCTAACTTGAGCTTATAGAGGTTCTTTGGTTCCTCTTCAGGCTTCAAAACTGGCCTTTTCTTCAAAACAGACGTTATTTCTACAATCATTTTTACAAGTTCATGAATATAGAAAATAAGCATCCTCTTCAGGCGTTCAACGATAGGCTCGTAAGTATTTTCATCTTTTTACACAATCAAGAACAATGAAATCCTTTCATACGGATTCATGCATGAAAGGCCTGCCGGAGTAACTTCATTTTTGGTATAACTTGCTCCTCAGAATCCTTTAAACTTAATGTTTATGAAGACTTCTGTCGGAACGGGTGCATAAACCTTTAAAGCAACAATGTTTTATGAACTCCAAGTATTGAATTGAGGCTTGAAATATTTAAGATAGAAAGAGAAGAGCTTATGATTAACATCATAGTTTGAGAGTGGTGCCTTCTCAATATTCAAGGCACCAAAACATAAAAGTCCTGGGAGTTATAGGAAAATCAAGTTGAGATTCCATAGAATTGTCCACATCAAAAGAAACCCAAGGCTCCAACCACTGGATGTTCGGATCATCAATAACCTCCCTATGAATTTGTTCCATCGTTCACGGAGGAAAGAGCGAATTTTGAGGTTCAAGAGTGACTATGGCTATTTTAGCCTCCTTCTCTTGATCTTCTAACTCCTTACAAAGACGCAAAAGATTTTCATGCTCCTTATCACTCTTCTTCCTTACTAGATTTTTTCCTTCAGAAAACTCTTCTTCTTCTTCTTCTTCATCACACGCCTTTTCTTTGCCATTACTTAATGCAGAAGCTTCATTAACCTTCTGAGTATCCGTTTTCAGTTTTTCTTAATATTGTTCATTAGTTGTTTGCTTCGCCTGGGGTTCTTCCATGTGTTCATTGTCTACCCCTTTTTTCGGAAGAGCATTGCTATCTGAAACAGCCTCAAGTTGATTCATCATTGCAAAGAATAGCTTATGTTTAACTGAAAGGGGTTGTCAAACTGAGACTGTGAGTAAGAAGCCATGAGTCTCCGCAAGCCTGTGCAGGTATTGATTAATCTCAGAAACACAACTTTTAACAACTGTTTTCTTAGATTCCAAATCATTAAGATGCTTTTTTGTATACTACAGGTTTATAGAAAGAACCTTGGCTTTCGCATTCTTTTTAGGCCAATTTATCCATGAGATTCTTTTTTGTTGCAAGATCATTATGAAGCGTTTCAATCTTTGAGATAACATATGCATTTAGTTTGGTGTTGTCTTGCTTGATCTTAGAAAGAACAAGGGAAAGAGCTTCCTTTTTAGCCTACAAGGAAATATGAAACCCTATAATAACTTTGTTTATGGCTTTGGTGTTGGAGTCAGTAGAGGTTCTGAGCTCATCCATAAATGATATAACATCTTGGTGTAGTTTTTCGACTTTTCGGTCATTTGTGAAATAGTTTTCTCTGAAGCTTGAATTTCCTTGGTTGAGTCTTCAAGGACTTTCACATTTTCCATTGTTAACATCTTAATAGTAGCTTCATGGGATTTCAGCATGTACTCATAGTTATATGAGCATTTGGAAGACTATAACAGAGAATCCAAATTCTCATTAAGCGGTTTAAATTGCCCTTATGTCATCGGGGCTTCATCTGATGGGATTTAAGCATTCTAACACTCCTATGGTGTTCATGCAACCCTATGTGCCTTGGATCTATGTTTTCACAATTATACAAATATACAAAATTTCAAAGCATCATCCTAACTAGCATATTATGGGCAACTATACTACAAAAGACTAGTTAGATGACATACCTTTTGATGGAGCTTGAAGGCCTTAACCTTTAAGATCGTAGCCCCAATAGTGTGGATGCCTCAAATGAAATCACAAAATACCACCAACAAATGGAATAACTTGAGAAGAAGGTTACTTTGGTTCTCCTTGTGAAATCGGCCCTTGCCCTCACTATGTGTATCCATTAGTGCCATTTCATGAACCATGGGATCCTTTATATAGTGTAGCTCATTAGGGTTACACCATGTAAACCCTAATGTGAATGACTTTTCATTTCCTTCATGATCCATGCGTTTTAACCTCCATCGAGTATCCATGGGTTACCACATGGGTTCAGCCCAACATGAAGGACATGGATCATGAGCCCACATATAAAAGAATGAATGATTTACATAATCAATCCCCATATATTTAATTAGTCTCTTTTAATCATGAAATGAATTCCAAATTAATTCTTGATCAATACTAATTAAATAGTAGTATTTCATATTAATATATAAGAAGTTATAATATATTAATATAAATAATTATTAACCTTTTCTCATTGTCTATCTAATTATTCTGATGCCATCTAACACAAATGGACCATGCTACTCTCGAGTCGAGTACATACCAATAATAGTTATGGGCTTAGACATCTAATCCAATACTCTCCCACTTGGTTAAGTCTAAAACTATTATTCAAGTATGACTCCAAGATCCTGACTAGGAATCGTAGCTCTTAAATCCGCTGTCGAACTCTGACCTAGTCAAATGACGTATCCATTAGATAAGGGATCATATATTCCTCCATTCTAGATATCATATGGACTGAGACAAGGATTAGAATCATTCTCACTGTCCATTTTTTTCCCTATTTCCGATTTATGACAACTAACTAATTAAACAAATCAATCAGTACATGCTTGGCCAAGCACATAGGGGTGTCATCACTAAATCATCGAGGGGCCCATAGATATCGCTTTTATCCCTCAAAGGGTAAAAGGAATAGATAAAATTTGACCCAAATGCTCGCTTGTACTTACTCATCAAATCACACACAACGATATGTTTTATAAAAACCAAGTTACTGGTTGTGTTTACATATGTCAATGTGCAACCAACTCGCAACTACAACTCACACGTCTCCATTTGAAGAATATAAGACTTTATCAAAAATCATACACCTTTCCTTAGATAGCTCACATGTGTGTCAAAAAATTATGAAGAAGGATGTTGTAATCATAATGTTTAGACCTTTTGCCATTCTTACTAGTCCATGTTAGTGTATCGGTTAACCACAAACACTCTACTAACGACTTTGAGATGGCAAATATCACAATAGCTTTCTACTTCAAATCTACTTAGTGAAAGCATTTCCTCACCATCATTTTTATGAATTGGAGATAAACCTTATGACACTTAGATTTTATTGTATATGTGTTCTTAACCATGTGAATTTGTGAAAACCATAATCACAAGACAAGGTTAGTGACAAATCCAAACTCATGTGGACTAAACTTGCTCAACCTTATTTTCATGCTACCTGGCAGCACAAGGGCCTACCATGTCTTCCAAGTTTTTATGAAATCAATAGAACTCTCATATATAGTCAACTTTAACTAGAATTGTCACAAAAATAAGAATATGTCAACCTCAAGTCTTGTGTTGGTGATAAACTGTAGGTTTCATTCTTGATTAGTTCTTGAAACTCTTTCAGGATCTTTAATACTCCCACAAACCACTTGACATATAAGTTTTCCTTTGTCAAATACCATTACATGACAACAAATATTTAAGAGTTAGTGTGGATTCTTATCAAGACAAACACTTCACACAATTGGCCATAGTCGGTCTTTGTTTTATCCAAAACATCACAACTTACCAATTTCAAATGTACAAGAGTAGAAAACATTTTACTCTACATTTGACAAGTGTTATAAACCTTCTTTAAGATGTGTCACTCAAGTTAGAATATTGGAGTATGAGTCTAAAAATTGTTTTGGAATGAAGTATGGCTCATCTTCTTGATTTAACCACTTCAACAATTCATGACTCGTCTTCTTAGCCATAAGAATGCACTAAGATGTCCTTAGAGGATCAATTGTGATATGGTTTCATAATCATTAGGATGATCATAAAACATGATACTAAACTACTCTCCCATCTTTTCAGATTTGTGCAACTTTTATCTTTCTTCCTAATTTGATTTGTGTCATTCGTTCTTCCTTACATTTTAACTTTCTAGTGTTTTGGAATTATACTTAAACTTTTAAGTATAACCATATTTACTAAACTTTAGTAAATCATGAAGAATAGTCTCAACGATCTCTTGTAAGTATAACCATATTTACCTAACTTTCTAGTGTTTTGGAATTATACTTAAACTTGGATTTTTATGGATCTATAACACATTATACACCGAATATGGATAGATCAAGGTCTATGGAGCTCCTTTACTCATAAAGTCTCCACCTTTGGGACAAAAACCCTAGAAATGGTCCATAATGCACAAATCAAAAAGATTGAGAAAGCTCCAATCTTTTTACCTCCAAATGATGCTCTAACCTCACAAAGTTCAGATCCAAGGCTTGCCCTCCATCTCTAGCTCCTTCAATGGCACCTCCTTCTCTTCAAAAGCACAGAAGAACACTTTCAAGCTCAACTAGACTCACACAATCTCTAGAATGAGGGTTAGGGTACACCTAAGGTTTTGCTCTCTGGAAATGGCGGCTAAAAGTGATGCCATAATGTTCCTTATATAGGGCTCACCCCTATAATTAGGGTTTCAATGTGGACCTAGTACGCCGAACGTACACTATGGTACACCCAGCGTACTGGGTAGACTCCGCGTCAAGAATACGCTCATGAGTACACGTATCGTAGTCTCTCTTACGCCCAACATACTGAAAACCAAACATTTATTTCAAGGACTAATTTTGACAACTTGAGGAAAGAAAACGATCAAAGAGATATACATGAATTCCTGGATGTTACAATTCTCCCCCACTAGAATCAGACTTTGCCCTCGAAGTCTTGCTGCTTAAATAACTCGGGGTAATGATCTCGCATCTCCGACTCCGGTTCCCAAGTCAAATCGGACCCCTTTTGATGCTGCCACTGGACCTGAACCAAGGGCACTTCATTGTTCCTCGGAACCTTCACTTTCCGATCTAGGATCACAATCGGCCTCTCGATGTAATTCTAGCTCGCATCCACCTGAATGTCCTCTAATGGCACTACTGCCATCCTATCAGCCACATACTTTCGCAACTGGGACACGTGGAAGGTGTTATGGATCTGGCTCAACTCCTCAGGTAGCTCCAACTGATATTCTACCTTGCCTACCCTGGA